ATCCCATCACTATGAATCTCTTCCATTTTATCTCTGAAAAAAAACGGGGCCTATTTTCCTTTGGAAAGCTCTTTTGGATAGACTTCTGATTTATAAGACTTTGGTCTCGTTTGGTAATATTACTTTTTAGTTCAAAAGTTAAAAAGTCACTAAAAAAATCAAAAAGTCAATAATCTATACAAAAAAATCAAAAATTTTATTTTCTATCTATTTATTACATATCTTTTTGTAAAAAATTAAAATATCATTCTAAATATACTATTTTTTTATTTTATATTTTAATTAAAAAATTAAAAAATTACTAAAATAATATGTTTTCAAACGTGCCGCGACCATTATCAATATTTTTGTGTTTTCCCATTAGTCTGTCCGTCTACCACAGCTGGTGGACAAAAGGCTTTGAGAAAAAAAAAAATAGAGATAAAAATTAAGTTAAAAGAAAAGATGTTTGGTTTTATTTTGTTTAAAAAAAATAGTTAATCAAAATAAACATCAAAATCATATTTTCAGACTTTTACAAATTATTTCTGCTTAAAAATGATAAAATCATATTAAATTAAAATGATTAACTTTTTATTTTTTTTTCATTTTTTCATCAAATTAGTTTTTAATTAAAAAAAAAACAAATTATAAAAATCAAGCCAAACAATGCAACTCTCCTATATTGTTTAGAGAGGTTAACAAGAGAAGAAATTATTATGTGTTGCAATTCTATTTCTTTAATACTTCTTGAATTATAATAATCATTCAACATTGTTTCTCCTTCATTGTTTACATTTCTCTCCTCTTTAATCATTCAAATAAATAATTAGAATCAAGAGAAATTATTATTATTATTATTATTTCTCCAAGTCATTCAATCCAAACATGCTGCCTGAACATGACTAGCATATACTTTCCTGTACTGAATTTACACAGTTTAAACTAGACATATATAAAACTGGAATTAACTGAATTTCATCCATAAAACCAATTAAACAACTTTACTCCACTAATTGTAGCCATAACCATCCTATAGGGTTAGTATAATTGAGGAACAATTAATCATTGATTAGGAAATCAATCTGAGAACGAATGGAATCAAAGAGGAGCTTGTATGTCTTCTCAGCTATGAAGCACGGGCTGGAATTAACTGAATTTCATCCATAAAACCAATTAAACAACTTTACTCCACTAATTGTAGCCATAACCATCCTATAGGGTTAGTATAATTGAGGAACAATTAATCATTGATTAGGAAATCAATCTGAGAACGAATGGAATCAAAGCCCGTGCTTCATAGCTTCTCAGTTGGGTGAATGGAGTCCCAAAACACATACTTTGATGCATCAGAGCAAATGTAAGATTTTGAGTTGCATAAGATTGATGCCTCCAATAATCCAGTCCCACAACATCCACTTCTAACCTCATCAAAATCTGAAATGCAACTCCCCAAAAAATTCATTAGAAGGGCTTGGCTAAGTTTGGTTTAATTTCCATTATCTTCTATGGCATTTGGTAACATTATCAGTTTTCTATATATATATATATGTACGGGGAGCAAATATTCCGGCAAGTCCGTACTTCTTTCTTCCAAGTTCCTGCTTGTCCGATCGACCTGTGAGTGTTAGATTAATCTTCTGTGTAAAAAAAATAACTTGAAATAAAATCAAACAAAATAAATAAATAACATATCGGATTTATTTATCGAAACGAATTAAAATTAAGACCAAGTCGAGTGTGTGACACTCTGTCCTTAAGACAGATTCGCCCCGCCACGGTGCTTACGGTTGAGTGGCGTCTATCTCCCAGGATACAATGATCTTCACAAATTTGTAGAAGCACTTCAAACAAATTTGTTCGGCGAACTAGAACCTTGTGTTCTATAACTCTCTGAAATTTATTCCTAATATTTTATATGAAGAATAATGCACTAAAAGAAAATGGACAGCAAAGAGACAAGAATTTCAGACTGAATTTTTCGAATGAATCAAAATTGGAATGGGGCTGCCTTTATATAGGCTTTGTTGGCACCTATTCAATTTGAATAGAAAAGGTATGAAGAAGGGACATACCTATTTCCTTTAAAATAAAGAGACACCATAAAAGGTTTGCACCCTTTCATTCAAATGGAGGTTTGACCCTTCTTTTACAACAAAAAGACACCATGAAAGGTTACACCCTTTCATTTGCCTTTATATAGGCTTTGTTGGCACCTATTCAATTTGAATAGAAAAGGTATGAAGAAGGGACATACCCCTTCCTTTAAAATAAAGAGACAACATGAAAGGTTTGCACCCTTTCATTCAAATGGAGGTTTGACCCTTCTTTTAAAACAAAAGGACACCATGAAAGGTTACACCCTTTCATTCAAAATGGAGTCTATTTCAATTCACAACTACCTCTTTATAAATTTTCCAACAATCCCCTACATGAATGAAATTGACAGAGACAAAATGCAACAACATTATGTAAATACAGAGAGTACAGAAATTGGAAATATTCTGCGAAGGATAGGTAGCTTTTGGCTTTGAACCTTAAAACTACTTATTTGTCTCTCTGGCTATATTGTAGAATTAGATACACTAAAATGTTAATTTCGCCCTTACTGATGTTATTATCAATATTTTATAATATTAAATATACAAAAATGATTATATTAATTGTTGTTTTTATTATTATTGTAGTTATTAACATGAAAATATAGTCCCAAAATATAACTTGTGCATTCGTATGGAGCGACAATATAAAATTTACAATATATGCTTCTAGAGGAATGAATATTAGTGTATTTTGTATGCATAAATTCTCATTCTAGATGTTAATAGAGATTTTACCAATGCTGAAGGTTTTATTCATTTAATTGGTAACAGTAGACTAAGGACTTTAGAACACAGAATTTGACAGGTGAAGATCATTGGCTGTACATCTCTACATGGCAATAGTTACAAGTTGAAATATATGCAAGTCTACATATTATAGGCCTTAATAATCCATTACCCTTCATATTACATGTTTAACAAATACAAGACATAATAGGCATTTCATCAAACAGGTGGTGAGTGCCACTAAAATTCAAAATTTGAACATACAAAAGCATAATAATTTTGAATTTCAATAACTAATAAAATGAGTTCAAGCATTTTTTTGATTAGCAAAAAAAACATTTAGTGAAATGGAGGTCTTTCTCAACTTGGGTTTTGCTCAAAACTCTCTAAAATTTCTTCAATGAAAGAGAGATCCAAACTGATGAGTGAGAGGGAAGGCTCTCTTGAAGGAGAGAGAGCCTGCATGTATATGCAAAAATCCCCAATTTCTGTGTCTCTAATCTGTGAACCCACAAAAATCTCTCTGAAAAACTCTGTTTTGATTTATGGGTTTGTTTATTTTGGCTTCTTTAATCTTTGTTAACCTATATATATATATATATATATATGTATATATGTATATGTATGTGTATCAAAACTAATAATAAGAGGGAGATTTAAGAAATGTATAGTTGATACTTGATTCCATTGAAACAAACCCTAAAATGAAATTACCTTTCCTCTAATCATTGATAGCTTAATAGAAACACTATCAGCAAAGGTAGAATGGCAATAGAAAGAGAAGGAAAAGCATGGAAAAAGAAACCAATGGAGGCAACATGAAGCCAATAGGGGAATCAGAAGGTAGGCAAAGATCTCTTACCTCTAACGATGCTGCTGCAGAGCGACAATGGTGCTTCGAACGACCTCTGATGCTGGTACTTCGTATGACCTTCAAACGACCATGGTGACTTTTTGTCTCACTTTGCAAAGCCTTCCAGAAGTTAGAGAAGTAAGGGAAAAAACTAATCAATTAGAAGAAATAGAAATACGATGCCGTTTAACAATTAATTGGAGGGAATCCAATTTTTTTTGAGAGGGAATTAAAAAAATGTGAACTACATTTACGGCAGTCTTCAAACGAACTGCCATAAAAATTGACCCTTCAGTTTCCTACAACTTTTTCGTCATTAACCCTCACTTTTTACCGACTGTTTTTCATAACCGCCGTTAATACTTAATTTTTAGAGGCGGTATCTATACCGCCATTTTAAGTATATTTTTAACGACAGTCTTGTAACCGCCATGAATAAAACCGCCGTTAAAGATCAGTTTTGGCGTAGTGAAGGTTTGCACCATTTCATTCAAATGGAGGTTTGACCCTTACTTGAAAACAAAAAGACACCATGAAAGGTTACACCCTTTCATTCAAAATGGAGTCTATTTCAATTCACAACTACCTCTTTATAAATTTTCCAACAATCCCCCACATGAATGAAATTGACAGAGAGAAAATGCAACAATATGATCTAAATATAGAGAGTACAGAAATTAGAAATATTCTACAAAGGATAGGTAGCTTTTGGCTTTGAACCTTCCATTGTAAGACACTATCGGATTTACTAGCTAACCAGTGAATATGATGTCTTGAACTATTCAGCGTTTGTGTAAACCAAGACAATAGAACTCACACAGTATATTCCCAGACATAGTTTAGTTCTCACTATTGTGTTCATTTTGGCCCTGAACAACCTGGTTTTTCATGAGTACTCTAGAGAATTGTAGCCCTTCACAAATCTCATAGAACCGGCCCAGTTCACACTCATATAGGTGATTCTTATGAAGAGTATCCTGCCATACTCCACTAGGTATACCTAGATATAAGAATCATTAAAAGTATTACTTAACCTAAACCGCTGCAGACATCACTATTTCATCAAAGAAATGGGTAGGAGATAGACTCCCCAGTGATTCTTCTGAGTCATTCACAACTCAGTTGTCCCTTTGAACCTAGATCTTGGGATCTCCAGTCAACTAGGTTGAGTTGCCATTGTGGTAACTCTTATTTAATAGGTTTTAGTCTCATTCCCCTCGATGAATTCTCAACTAACTCTCTTGCTAACCCTTTGGTTAGTGGATCCGCTATGTTGTCTTTAGACTTAACATATTCTATGGAAATAATTCCATTAGAGAGTAGTTGTCTTACGGTGTTATGTCGACGACGAATGTGTCGTGACTTACCGTTATACATATGACTCTGTGCTCTACCTATAGCTGATTGACTATCGCAATGTATGCATATAGCAGGCACCGGTTTTGGCCATATTGGAATATCTTCAAGGAAGTGGCGAAGGTATTCTGCCTCTTCCCCTGCTTTGTCTAAAGCTATGAATTCAGATTCCATAGTAGACCTAGCAATACAAGTCTGTTTGGAAGATTTCCAAGATACAGCCGCACTACCTAGAGTAAAGACATACCCACTGGTGGACTTCGAGTCTTTAGTATCCGATATCCCATTGATGGACTTCGAGTCTTTAGTATCCGATATCCAATTTGCATCACAGTATCCTTCAAGTACTGCTGGATATCTAGTATAATTAAGCCCAATGTTACGAGTAAATCGGAGATAAACCTTATAATTGCTTTCCAGTGTTCTACTCCCGGATTACTCGTATATCTACTTAATTTACTTACTGCATAAGCTATATCTGGACGAGTGCAGTTCATCAAGTACATCAAGCTTCCAATAATTTGGGCATACTCTAATTGAGAAATACTTTCCTGTATATTCTTAGAAAGATACAAATTAACATCTACAGGTGTTCTAGCAAGATGAACATCATCTTTGCTGAATTTGTCAAGTATTTTCTCAACGTAATGAAATTGTGACAAAGCATATCCTTCTGATGTTTTGGTAATTTTTATACCAAGTATTACATTAGCAATGCCCCTGTCCTTCATGTCAAAATGTTTATTCAACATTTTCTTGGTAGTTTTAATCATGTCATTATTACTACCAATGATGAGCATATCATCTACATAAAGACATACAATGACATAACCTTTATCTGTGTTTTTAATATAAACACATTTATCACACTCATTAATTTTAAAGCCATTTGACATCATTGCCTTGTCAAATTTCTCATGCCATTACTTTGGCGCTTGTTTTAAACCATATAATGATTTAACCAATTTACACACTTTCTTTTCTTTTCTTTTCTTTTCTTTTCCTGGAATAGAAAAACCTTCTGATTATTCCATGTAAATTTCTTCATTTAACTCACCATTTAAGAAAGCGGTTTTAACATCCATTTGATGAATTTCTAGATTGTATAGAGATGCAATGGCAATTAGCATTCTAATGGATGTTATTCTAGTAACCGGTGAGTATGTGTCAAAGTAATCTAGACCTTCTTTTTGTCTAAAACCTTTGACCACAAGTCTTGCCTTGTATTTGTCTATTGATCCATCCGCTTTCAATTTTCTTTTGAAAATCCACTTGTTCCCAAGAGGTTTACAACCTAGTGGCAAGTTCACTAATTTCCAAGTGTGATTTTGCAAGATGGATTCAACTTCACTATTGACAGCTTCTTTCTATAAAGGAGCTTCAGGACTGGACATAGTCTCCTTAAAAGTTGAAGGCTCATTTTCTAACAAATATGTTAGAAAATCTGGACCAAAAGATTTTGAGGTTCTAGCACGTTTACTATGCCTAAGTTCCTCTTCCTCATTTTGATCTAACTCTTGTTCTTGATCATGTTCTTGATCCTGACTAGTAATAGCATCAAAAGATCTTTTATTAGTACTAGTCTCTGGTCCAGTCTTCTTTGGAAATACATGTTCAAAGAATGATGCATTTCGAGACTCAATAATAGTATTTACATGCATTTCGGTATGTTCTGATTTATGAATCAAAAACCGATATGCACTACTATTCTTAGCATAACCAATGAAAATGCAATCAATGGTCTTAGGACCTATCCTAGTCTTTTTAGAACTAGGAATAGCCACTTTAGCCAAACACCCCCACACTTTTAAGTATTTGTAGGATGGTACTCTTCCATGCCACAATTCATAAGGTGTTTGATTCACTTTCTTTCGGGGTACTTTATTAAGTATATAATTAGCAGAAAGTATTGCTTCCCCCCAAAAGTTCT